AGCCGCACTTAAATTCCTCTTCATTCGCTGACGAAGTTGATCAGCGCGAAATAGCTGGGAGGCTGCTGATATTTTGGAGGGAGATTTTTTAATGAAAATTTCGGACCGCGTTGCTGTCATATATAAACTCAGCACCTTCGACTTATCTCATCTTTCGCCATTTCAAAATTTACCGTCCATCCGCAACCACAAGTTATGTGGGCAATTACAGCGATTGAACGCACAGCATATCCGATCCCAGCATCTTCACTTCGATTAGATGACTAAGAAAATTAACTAACCATGTTGCTCTGCCACAACGGAAGCAGGTCCGGTCCTAATCCCAGTGCATGACCAATATCAACACCAAGAATACACATAAACCATGATAGAACAAAAACAATCACCAAAACTTTCAGTCTTCGTACAACCTTATGTTCTTCACAATGGTCGTTTACTAGGAAGTTATTTTTTCTTTGATTAACAGCGGTTAGCAGAAATAAAGATTGAGAATTGTTGATTACTTTGGGTACCTCTAAGCTTCACAAACGCGATAATTGCAGCATAAACAAGTAGAACTAAGCAGTTTAAAACAATGCTTGAAATGGACCAATATCGGCTTACGGTAGGAGTCAAACCTAAATCATCGTGGCTTACATATTCAAGTAGGAAAGGCATAGCATGTTATGTTACCTAAAGGAGGATTACAGAACTGGATCACTTCATCATCTTGGGTGACCAACCCCCACATTGAGATGGGTAATGAATACAAAGAACAGAACGTAAATATCGTAGTTACATAAGGAGTCGTCCTGCAAACTCGATACCTAAATCAGTGGAATGAGTTGTCATGCTCTAATCCAAGTTGTATCTACTGATGTAGATGAGTATAAAGTCTCGGCCGATTTGTGAAATGCTTAGTCTCCCGCAGAAATTAAATGCTTCTATGTACTTACCACAGTGGAAAAAGTAGTGCCACGAGTAAATCGACAGAGATGGCAAGGGTCATAAGAGTTTGTTGAGAACTGCTAAATATATAAAGTGCTATAAATGGATAACACTGTCTTCTTGTGAAGGGTGAGAGAAATATAATAAATATCACATTTATCAGCTCGGATAAAAGACATATAATATGGCATACAGCATTCAGCGCAAGTAGTATACCTGAAATATTTAGACGATTGCAAAACAACTCGCCTTTCTTTCCGAAAAATAAGTCAAGGCCGTACAAGACCCGTCATTTTTTGGCTCTTCATGTGATTGAATTATGTACTTATATTTCGCCTAGTGTGCATTGTTGATGAGCGTACTTTTAAAAAGTAGTAAATCGATTTTAATGAGCTGTGGTCCCAAGGGTCACATAATATTGAAGGATATGCATACCACACCGTTAAGTGTTGTTCCTCAAAAAATTCTTTTTGTAGTTCGCTTGTCTCTCTTTCTTAGTAGCCTTGGTATTAATGCTGTTCTATGTTTTTACTACGCAGCCCAACCTTTGTCTCGACTAATCGTCGCTTTCAGAGGTGATGGAAATTCGGATCGTGTGTCTGTCAGACTAAATTAATGAACCTTATTCAATTTTTTGAACTCCCCTTAGGATCCACAGACGAGAATGATTGCACGAGTAGACAAACAAATTGGCTTTCGCTTCATTGTAGGCGCACGGATGCTGCACGCGATTCTTTGTGTGGATAAGCCGCTGAATACCTTGATGTGTTATAATCTAATTGTATTACTATCATATGGCTTATACAGTTGCGACCAGATATTCCTGTTCAAACAAAAAATTCGAGTATTCCGTGTGCTTCAAATTTTCGAAATTTGAATATACGAAAAGATGCATTTATTTGATTGTTCGAATAGTTATATGATTCGAAACATCCACATTCGAATAGTCGAGTTTGAATAGCTTTGAAGTGAGATTGGATCGTTCGAATATTTGCGAAATCAGCGAATACTTGTTTTTTCTTATCGGCGGAGTATTGCAATGATTGAGATCAAGCAATTATATTTGAGTGAATCTGCGCCTTCGCATAGTCGAACATCCGAAAAGCACTCATTCTGTTATTCGAATATTCGATTCGATCTTGTCCTATAATGCGCTGATTGAAATAGTCAAGTATTCAGGATCCCTGCTATTCATATATTCGGATTCGAATATATTTTGGATAGTAATTCGAATCTTATTCATTTACGAACGAATGTTCGATGTTCATTAATATGGAAAAATCTTCGAGCGTTCAATGTTCTGTAATAGCTTGTAGCCATCATTACCATGAAAAAAGATTGCCTTTCCTTTAGCTATATAAATTTCTTTGTTTTCACACAGATCGCTCTGATTTCTGCGTATGACGGAGCATTCTATCCACCACTCTTGCGCAATCACCAACACTACCATACATATTAGACAATCTTTATAATTGTTGTATCTATCCTAAAATCGTTCAAAGTATTCATTAGGATGATATCGTTGGTCCGCTGTGTTTTGTCACATAGCTCCAATGGCCTTTCCTGAGAAGAAAGGCAAGCAGAATGTTAATTTGTCTGTGCACTGGCGATATTGCACAAGGTGTATACCAAGTTGCTGGCGCATCGGCCACTACAGCTCCTGGCAGTGCTCAGATCTACTTCTATAGCACGGGTTGCCGTTTTTACATATTATGAACAGCAGCATGTTTGACGGCAAGTGAATGCTTAAAGCGAGCATTTATGAGGATGTTTTTGAGACCTTCTTTATGATATCTTATTATAGTCATCTACAAACGAGCAATTAAATTGTTCTTTAAGGGCAACCATTGGTTGCTCTCGCTTGAATTTGATTTACCAGGACTGGTGGTTAGGGGCCGAAAGCACTCGTCCATTTCGAAGCTCGTACATTCACCATATAGTATGTAACGGCAGTACGAGAGGAGCGCCCTTCGACTGAGAGATACCGCGACTATCTACACATCAAGCTACTATGTAGCTTATTGGCCTACTGTCAGGCGGTGGCACCCCCAGTGCGCCTGCGATGAAGCAAAGATCAGAGTCATGCGTTGTGTTTTTACTTGTGGATCCTTAGAAGAAGTCGAAAAACTGGGCAGGTGTTGATGAGCCTTTAGACAGAACGATCACAAACATGACACGGGTTTAGGTTTATTAAGAGTTAAATAGTCGAAGCGTATGTTGGGCCGCTGTAAGAAAAGCTTTCAAAAATCTTGTGTTGGCAAGAATGAACAACATTTTTGCATCTTTTCCCGCGTACTTCCTATCAGCACATTCAGACTATAAATACAAGTAAATGAACAGAATAGAAACAGTACTAAATTTTCACCATTTTCCATAGACCTTTATAAGAGTAAATGGGCGCATGCAATAGCTCAACAAATTTTTTTTATCAATGCGAAAAGCTTCCTCTTCAAATTTCCTGTCCATTGCTGCAGCATGATGTCGTGATATTTATACCAAAATCCAAAAAACTCAGGAACAGTGGCGAAAGACAAGATAGTCAAAATTAAGGGTTTCATTGCTTTTGCATAGAAAATCGTAAACAGTCACAGCGCATATAATGCGAGACAGTA